GCAGGGAGCCCGATGCGGGACTCGATCCCAGGACCCTGGGATCATGACCTGAGCCAAAGGCAGCCGCTTAACCGACTGAGCCACCCAGGCGCCCCAAAGGTCGAATTATTAACTGCTACGCCACTCAACCTTTTAAGTTTTCTTAAAGTGAGTGCAAAATTAAAATTATCTAGAGTCCTTTTTTTTTTCAATAAGAAAGTTGTATTATTTGATGTTGTGTTGAGGCTTGCATTCTGACCACTGCCTAGTGCTAGGAACAGATGCACCACTTTGCTATAAGAAAGTGGCATTTTGGAGAAATCATGGGGGTGCCACTTGGCAGGCTGATGGGCGTAGCTCTAAATTCATGTGGGAGCCGCCTCCTTCTAAGTGGGCTGCAACTCACAGCATTGCTGAGTAATTCGCCTATTCAAAGTGGAGTTGACCACTACCTACTTCTAATCTTTTTTACACCTCATGCCTCTATCATTAAAAAAAAGTGTGGTTGCCTCATGTAAAGGATCTCTTGAATTTAATGTATTCTAAAAACTTTGAGGGATAAGATGCATACTTTTGGGTACAGAAAGTATCTGTGTTACAAAGTGTTACAAATATAGACATATAGCTTTTACAGGTGTTGTAAAAGCTTTTTGTAAATATACATAAATTCACCATCAAGGAGGATAGGGGAAGATTCCTCAGCTGCCTGGAGAAGCCATTTCCTTTTAGAAAGTCCTCAAGTATTATCATGCTCTGCGGGTTTGGAGCTGGGCTAATGGTGAGAAGTATCCAGCTCCTGAGGATGTATTTAAAATCTGGAGGCAGGAGCTATGGGGAAAAAGAGCTACATCCTCTTTGGAATAATAGCTCGGTGCCTTGGATGAGATGTCCATTCTCTTCCTTGAAGGGAGCATCATCTCTGGTCAACTAGAACAAAAAAATGAAAACAAAAACAGCTGCTTTTTCAATTTCTTAAAAAAAAAAAAAGGTTGGTTAGTTTCTGGTTCAATACCGTGTAGGAAGAACTTTCACTGCTATAATCTCTACTTTATAAACTGTAGCACATCAAGTCCTACGCCAACAAAAAGTGAACTTAAAAAAAATCCTTTCATTTGTTTAGAACAAAAGGAGTGTTGAAAGTGATCAAATTAGTATAATGTGGGGGCGAGGAATGTAAGCTCCCGAGTCTGATGCCTGGATCAGATCCCCATTCTTTTTTTTTTTAAAGATTTTATTTATTTATTTGACAGAGACAGAGATAGCGAGAGCAGGAACACAAGCAGCGGGAGTGGGAGAGGGAGAAGCAGGCTTCCCCTCGAGGAGGGAGCCCGATGTGGGACTCGATCCCAGGACCCCGGGATCATGACCTGAGCCGAAGGCGGACGCTTAACGACTGAGCCACCCAGGCACCCCAGATCCCCATTCTATCACTTAGCATATTGTGTCATCTTGGGCAAGTTACTTACAATCTCTGGGCTCTAGGTTCTTCACCTATGAAACAGTGCTTGTTTTACGAGTCAGTTGTGAGGATGAAATGAGATTATGTCTATAAAGTGCTCAGCACAGGGTTGGGTAGTCAAAGCCCAATAAACAGAAGCTGTTGAAACCTCACCATCTACAGGAAAATGTTGGAGACAGTCTAAATTTTTGTCACTTAACTTAGATTATATATATTCTCTTTCTATATATAAACTATATACATCTATCTATCTAATCATTTATACATTTTCAGTCAAAGCATTTCTCTTGAGTGCATTTTGTTGACACCCTCAGCCTATCTTGAATTCAGGAACGAGGCCCTGGGCAGGGGCCCTCACACAGAGCTCCTTCCTCTGCCTTCCCAGCTGCCTGCCAGGTTTTCCAGTTCTATCAACCACCCTCCTGGGGCAGTGACATAATTCTCGTTATCTGCCTTCTGTTAGGAGAACGGCTGGGTAACAGGTACAAGAGATAGATTTCTGCTGACCTGGGGTTTTTCTTTCAGTTGTGAGTGACACAGAAATGCAATCAGCAGGGCCTGGGTGAGCTCTGTCAAGTGATTTCCACCAGGCCCTTGTCTTGTTTCGACTGCTTTGCTTGCTGTCCTATGTTACACGTTGCAGAGGCTTCATGGTTTGAAGACAGGATAAGCCAGAAACTGGGGTACCTTTCTCCGCGACCAAGTGTGACATCTGGGGTTCAAAAGTAATTCTTGCACGGATGTGCCATTGTGCTAATATTAATACTAGCGTGCTGATGATAACGGGTGGCCCTCTAGCCCACTTTGCCCTTCCCTCCTCCTCCTGCCCAGTCTTTTCCTCCTCACCCCACACTTTTTCTTCCCATCTTTTTTTTTTTTTTATATCAACAGCTAACAATTTGTTGAGTGCTTACTATGTGCCAGGCACTGTTATAATCACCTTACACATATTAACCCACTTAATCCTCACAACATATGAGGAGACATCATTATTATTCCCTTCCTACAGGAGTGAAAACCAGACCAGACATTAAGGAACTTGTCCGAGGCCAAACAGCTTCAAAGCTTTCGTCAGCCTATCTATATCTCTTTATTTCTTTTAAATTATTGACCATTTTAATACTCGTGTTTAGAGATACTTTTTTTTTTTTAGAAGATTTTATTTATTTATTTGAGAGAGAGAAAGAGTGAGAGAGAGAGCACAAGAGGGGGTAGGGTCAGAGGGAGAAGCAGACCCCCTGCCGAGCAGGGAGGCCAACTTGGGACTCAATCCCAGGATTCCGGGATCATGACCTGAGCCGAAGGCAGTCACTTAACCAACTGAGCCACCCAGGCGCCCTAGAGATACTTTAAATGATCAATTTCCTCAAGTTCTCAGTGTAGGGATATTTTCTTGGAGCCGGGAAGGGAAGGCTTAATGGGCTTCTTGAGTTTGGATGCTCATCTTGTGTAAGGTGGGACCTTCAGGTCAAGGACATTTTAGCATGCTTGTTAGGATCCCTCAGCACTAAAAGACAAGATTGTGATTCATAAGGATAAGACAGTGAATGCGGCGAGAATCAGAGTGTGCTACTAAGAGACGCAGTTATTTCCAAGCCCAAACCACATGTGTTTCAGGAATGGTTAAAGTTCAGGGGTTAGGGACAGGAGAGGGGGAATAGAGATCACCAGACTTCACAGTCAGATCCTTTTTTGGAAATGAGAAAAGAATAGAAAACAAAAAGAAGCCAAGAAAGAAAATTGCAAGGGCTCTCCCACCCCTTTCCCTGAACACCCAACAGCAAACACCCTTTCTTCTTCAAGGATTCTGGTGGGCGGCCTCTCCCAGAGTCCTGGGGACGGTTCTCTTCTGGATAACTTTTAATTGGAACAGAGACTATTGTCAACAGGAAAGGCTTTATTTGGAAAAAACCTTCATGGAGGTCAGTCGATTGAACTTTGAGTATCAGGTCATGCTGTGAGGGACACATGGGGGTGAAGGGAATATTCTCTGCCATGGAAAAATGAGACGAGGACACAGAGGAGGCCTTGCCCTGACTTCTTTGGCGGTCAAGCGACTTGTGTCGACCCCCCAGGGAAACTGATTTCTGAGCGCTGGGTGGGAGGGCCGTGCTTCCGCACAGTATGATCTGTGCTCTCCTCCAGGGCTGGCTGCAGCTCACCTGGGGAGGGAGGCCTTGTGAGTGAAGACGCTGGGAGGGGAGAATGGGGGACAAGGGACCATGTCGTGCCGTGAGGCGGGTGACGGAAAGGAGAATGCGCTCTTGGCGCGAAGGCTACGCGCAAGGAGGGCGGATACAATAGCTAGAGCGTGCGCGCCAGTGGAGTGGGCCTCCCGAGCGAGGGCTGGGCTCCAAGCTCATGAAATGCAAGGCAGGAAGCCCCCTGAGGGTTGGGCAGGGTTGGCCGAGGCCTCCCCGGGTTAACGTGGAGTCTGTAATGCCAGCAGCGTCCGGGCCCGTACGTGAAGGTGTTCACGTCCACCGCGGCGAACACGCCCCACGGCAGTCA